AGGTTATGCAGGGGCAGCTGCAGAAACACAGGAGAGGCAGAAAAAAATTAATTAAATGAAATAAAATATGTCTTATTGTATCATTGTGCATCTTTAATATTAAAGACACGTCTATGTGTAATTAAGCAGAGCAGAAATTTATGCCGCCAATTGAGGGTCAATTGTGGAGTCAGGATGAAATCATCTAAAATATAAAGTTTGCACTGATAAGGATTCATTTGTTTTACACAGAAGTTATTTATCCTGTTTTTTAAATGCTTAATAGCATTTTGATTGTTACAGAATCTCATGTTGTTGATGTTTTTGAGCAGCTATGGCAACAACGTGATAATTCTTCTTAAAACAATATTACTGAATTAAGAAAATGTTTTCAACTGTTCAGCAAACAGAGACTCGTTTAATGAATCAGAATATGACTGAAAAGTTCCTGTGTTAGTAATTCCTTCACCAAGTGATCAATTAGATTAATTAGATTGTGCATGTTTTAACATATTTATATTTTTGCTATAAAGACACTATTAATCTGACCATCTTCATCAGGACATCATTTATTGAATAAGCCTGCTTAAGTTCTGGCCTCATTCTTGGCACAGAGAAAGAAAAGGCCTTCCAGTGGGAGCATCGGCGCCACCAACTTCAAACACAAAGTTACAATCTTGCTTTGTGACTCATTAGTTTTCTATTTCATGTGACGTTAATCAGTTCAGATTAACGTCACATGAAGACAGAAATGTTGTCTCCAGTGGGAAAAGTTCAGGACTGAATGGATTAAAAAGTGAACTTGAACCGATACAAAGTCAAACTGTTTGTGTGGACAGACTGTCTCTGTTAAGTCCTTTAGTTCTCCACCAGAGGGCGCTGTGAGGTCAAGGCTCTCAGTAGCTTTCCTCCAGAAACAGAGATTCCTCTAAAATTGAGTTGATGTTGGAAGGTCAGCATAAAAGAAGAAGAGAGATTATGATGAAGAAGCTGAATGACATTAGAACTAGTTTTAAAAGTCAGAGATTAATAGAAGTTATGGAGAAATTTGACTAGATTATAGAGAGATGAGAAATACTGGAAGCTGGTTTAAACTCTCCTTAATATGAAAACATCCATTAATCTGCGGAAGTGAGATTAAAACTTTAGAATCTGGACTAATCTGTATAGATTAGCATAAAACTGTTTGGGTAATAAAAAAAAACATTGAATGTGTCCAAATTCTTCATTTTATTCATATTTCTCCATAAAGATCAGAAATCAGTTCAGATTTCTGATCTTTATGACAAATTCAAAGAAACATTCCCAAACTGAAAATCTTTCCTTCATGTTATTCTGTAACTTTAATGTCAGTAAATCAATAAACTGATTGCCAACATCTGTCTGTGTGAACTTGTCTAGTTTTAAATTTCTACATACAGTCTGTAGAAATCTCAGAGCAGCTGGAAAATATTTTAGTTTCTAATGTTGAAAAAAAATGTTAAAAGAGATTAAGAATTAAAAATATATAAATATTTGCTGATATTTGTTCTAATATTGGAGAAAATGACAGAAATATTAACAAATGAGTAATTAGTGTTTAAATCTTGACACACAGGTGGTCATGATATGAGCTGATAGTCTGTTGGATTATAAAAACTGATATTATTATTATTAAACTTCTGTGATGATGCTTAAAAATGATCAAAACAGCAGAATTAATCATTTAAATAACAGAAGTTTTATAAAGCAGCAAAAATTCTACAAAAAAAACTGATCAGCTGATCGATCATCAGATATTTAATATTTCTGGTGGTTTTGAAGCAGCAGCTCCTCTTCATCACTTCCTATAAACTCATTTAGCCTTAATTTGGGTTTTACTTTTTGTTTTTTCAAACATGTTATATAAACAACAAAACAAACCGATTTATTGTAAATTAAATAAACTTAACAGTGAATCTTAATGATGGACAAAGAATAAAACCAGAACAAATGAATCTGAACTGATCCAGTCAGTCCGTCACTCAGACCTTCAGCTCTATGAGCTCTCAGTTCCTAACTCCACCACCAGGTGGCGCTCCAGTATAACCCTGATGGTAGAACTGGTCTGAGGTCAGATCCAGCAGCTGGATTGGTTCTGCCGAGTCCAAACAGCTGCAGCTCATGTTGATGTTAAAAGGTTCTGCAGGGAATCAGGGTCTGACAACATGAGGGAAGAAATCTGGATTTATTTCAGCAGAACCATCAGAACCAGAACCAGTGGAGCAGAACCAGAGCTTCACTGGTTCATCAGCTGCTGCAGCTGAAAGCAGCTCAGATCAGGGTTCTGGTTCCAGGTTCTGGTTCCAGGTTCTGGTTCCAGGTTCTGGTTCCAGGTTCTGGTTCTGATTCCAGGTTCTGGTTCCTGTTTCTGATTGAGTCCAGAACGTCTGTTTCCAGCAGCCAGCGGGTCAGAACCAGCTGCAGCTGGACGGGTCATCAGTCAGAACAGAACAATGATTTATGCCAATATTAAATATTTCCCTCATTACTGGAAGCTGTAAGCAATGCTCTGTTGATCCTCATGAATATTTTATGATTTTATATCAGAAACAAGCAAAACACTTCAGGAATAGAAACTTATTGAACCTACCAGAGATGCTGAGTCGACATTTTCCAGAATTGAATCTCTTGGATCTGATAGATGATTGGTTCTCTGTGATCACTCCTTTATTCAATAATTTAACAAGAACATTATAATACAGAAACATAAAGTCAAATGATTTTACAGTAAATTAATAAATATTCATGAATAAACATCGTAGGAAGAGCAGATGATGATGGTCATGAACATCAAAGCTTAAAACAGAACAGTTCAGGTCACTGAATCTTTAAAAAACTGGAAACAAGAATTAAATTATCTTTAAGTACAATACTGAATAAAAATAATTTCTTCCTTCATTAAATGTTATTGCAAATATAAAAAAACTATCTACAAATTATGAATTTTACAGTTAAATCCAAATTTATTCTTTAGCTTTAAAGTTCAAGTTCTTTAACTTAGCTATAAATAATTGTCTTGGAAACACAGCTGCATTTCCAAAGTTGTCAAAGTGAACAACAAAACTACAGCAAGAGTCCCTGGGAAAAATAAAACCACAGTGGGAAAGTTTTAAACAACAACAGTATTGTTATTTATTTATTAACACATGAGCAGAAACCCCTCACCACCAGCTGTAAAACATTGTGGTGGTTGATGGGTATTTTTCCTTTCGAACCTACATAAAAAAAAAACCACAGACAACGTATATGAATTTTATGACCAAGCTTTTGCAAAAGGAGAAGACTCCGTCAACTGCTCCTCCGAGCCGTTCACAGAGCGTTCTGGTCTGCTTCCGCGTGAGCCCCTGTTTTATTGTCAAAGAAAAACAGTCAAGGGAGCAGTCAAGAAAAACAACAGAGGTCGTAAAACTTCTAACCCAAACAACTAGCAACCCAATTCCAGGTGTGATATCTGATGTATGGTCTGAGCCCGGTTCAAATCTCGGTCAAACTGTTAACAAGACAAAATACGACTGCACACAGGCAGTTAGGAGGTATTCTGGTTGATAAGAATTTAAGGTCTGAGAAACACAGAGTTAACTGTTTCACATGAAGATGAACAGACAGTCCTGACCTCCAGGTCAGTTCATACACACATGAGGAAGAGAACACTTTAAACTGAAAATCACAACGATCTATAGACTGAATGTGAACTAAAGTAATAACAAAATGATAATACCAAAAAATCTCTAACAGTGGTTGATCTGGAATTTTTCTGCTGTCAGGATTGGAGTCCATGATCTCCTCTGTTTACCAAAGTAGAATCCAAAACGAGTTCAGGATCCATCAGCTGCTTCCTGAAGATTCAGGATTCAGATAAACAGTTGAATTAAAGTTCATCATCAGCCGATTCACTAGAAGAGTTCTGAATCCATGTTTGATCAGTAAAACTGTGATTAGAGCTGCTGTCAGTCCCAGTAAAACATAGAGACCGATCCGTCCTCGACTGTCTGACGCTGAATCTTTTCTAAGATGATAAAAGACTGCAGAAGAAGCTGGAAAATGTATTGAAATAAAAATGTTTTATGTATCATTAGAGATGTTTGGTCAGAGAAACTGATGTTCATGTAAAATGTTTTAGTTTGTTTTATGATGTCTTTAGCTTTAAATTTTAGAAAAGGCAATAGAAAGGACACAATAAATCAATGTTGAAGCAAACGGTCAGAATATTAACAGCAATGAAAAGAGAAAATATTTCTGAGCTAAACGACATGAGAGCAACAAATTCTTAGATGATTAACAGAAAAACCTGAAACATTTTTTGAAGCTCAAACTCACCAGTAACGTTGAGTCGACATCTTCCAGAGTTGAATCCATAATCTGTCATCACGTCACACAGATACAGACCAGAGTCTTCAGTCCTCAGTCTGGACACATGGAGTCTGATTCGTCCTTCTCTGAGGACGTCTTTGTCACTCTGGACTCGTCCTGAAAACTGTTGATGCTGAGAATCTGGAATCTCAACACCATCATGGACCTGATAGAGAACTAAAACTCCATGATCCGTGTTCGCTTCACAGTAGATGAACAGATTCCTGTAGGATCCCTGAGTCCTGGTGGTGAAGGTCCACTCCAGAGTGATGCTGTGGTTCTCCTCTGCCTCATAGCTGCTCTGGGTCACATTCACTACAAATGTTGCTGCTGAGGAGACAGAGAGGGAAAGAGAGGAGCAGACACACTGAGAACTGGAACATGGGAGTCTTTCAGCTCCATCTAGAGAGCTTTCTGTCACAAAGACAAGATGGAGACTGACCACAGAGACATGAGCTGAGGATGAGGAGCAGCAGGGAGATCATCTTCATCCTGAGAGAGGAAGAGGAGGAGGAGAGGCAGCAGGACATCAGGAACAACGTCACTAACAGTACAAAGGTCAATTGGAAATAATCCTACATGTGAAATGAAATAAACTTTCACTGAGTTTCACATGAGAACAAATGATCTACATCAAATTGTTTCTGGTACCTCGTCTGTTTAATCTCCAGTGACTGAATGAGTTCAGTCAGGATATCAGATGTTTGTCACCAACATTTTTGTCTTCCTGCTGATGGGAAATAGAAAAACAAACTGAAGCAGAGAAATGGCTCCACCTGCTGGACAACTTGAATAATTACAGCTTCTCACCAGTATTTATGTTTAGCTCAGTTTTTCTGCCAATTTATAACGAGCAGTTTAAATTCATTATTCAAACTTTACCGAGATAAGTAAACATTAAAAATATTAACTCTTAGTGTTTATACTTTTAGAATCTAAATGAGACAGAAGATCAGCTGATTTACCTTTAAGTTGTGACTGAAATTTGAATCCTGTGGGGGAGAAACAGGTTTAAGGCTTTTACTGAGACAGAATGACACGACTTTCACATTAAACGGTTGATGGACTAAGATTAGCATTTTTATAACACAACAGTAGAATAATCATCCAGTTTAAGAAAGAAAAGTAGCCGGTGCAGCTGGTAGAGATGTTGCCTCACAGTAAGAAGGTCTTAGGTTTGATTCCCAGCCCAGGGTTTTTCTCCTTGAGTTTGCATGTTCTCCCTGTGGATGTGGTTTCCATCACCACACCATGTGTGCATAACCATGTGTGCATCATGTGTGTGCATGATTCTGTCTCTGTGTTATCCCACCTCTTGCTCAAAACATTTCTCCCCACTTGGGAGAAAATGTATTTAATCTGCATGAAGAACAAACACCAAGTTTTAATTTATTTTAGAAAGAAAATCTGTTTGTCTCTTTAGTTTTCAACAACCAGACACAGGAAAAGTTTTTCCTAAACTTTCTATAAACAGAAGAACCTCAAACAGATTAAAACTCATATTTGATCAAATTAAACAGATTTATCTGATCTGTTGAGATTTTAAGACCAAACGTCTTCAAAATTCACAGATCTCTGGATTAAATCAATGAGATTAGACTAAATATTAATTTATTTCTCATTAATTCATCCAGCATTTCAAAATTTTTGTTATTCAAGAAGGAAACAGGAATGAAAATAATTTGTTGTAGATTAAAATCACTTTGATTCCACTGATTTATTGACCAGTTCTGATACATTAACATTTATTACTGATGCTATTGTCTAATTTAACAGGCAAATTTACTGAACTGAACTGAAATCTAAACAAACATAAAACCAAACTACTACATACTTACTTATCTGGTTGGATTGTTTCATTGTTTCTCAGAGTTTGTAAAGCTGCGTCCTGTTATGTTATTATCCATGTAGCAAAGTGAAGAAATGAGTAGTAACGGTTTTCTGATCTGTAGTTTCAGTTCCTGAGGCTTTTGCTCTCAGTTCTATGAATAACCAATGTGACCTAATCTCAAAGCCACTTCCCTCCTCCCTCCTGTCATGTTGATCAGAGTTTGTTTAGCATCTTAAGGAGAAATCTGAGTTTTATCTCATTTTTAGAAATTCTCTGATCATTGAAAACTGAATCTGGATTCTGATTAGAATCAGTTTGATTCACTTCAGTTCAATAAAATCTATTCCAGAGGTTTATAGAGCTAGAGTCAGTAGATCAGCTGCTATAAACCAGATGTTTGCTCTAGTTGTTGTTTCATTTAACAGTTTTCTTTCTGACAGAGATCAGCTGATCTGTTGATTCTCTCAAAGTTTTTCTGCTTCATTGAACTGAAGGAGTTCAGTCAGGATCTCAGCTGTTTGTCTCCAATCAGGAAGATTCACTTTCACTTCAGATCCTCCATCTGTTCACGTGTTTGCTGTCAAAAGATATTTATTGTGTCTGTTTGTAACAAAATCACAATTTTCTCTCATTTCCAAAAATTAAAATCAATAATTCACTTTTATGTTGATTAACATAAAAAGTAAACTGTTCACACATTTAGTGAATCTATAGATCTATAGATCTATAGATCTATAGATCTATCTTCAGTGACAACCAGAGGTAAATTCTCCATATATGTGATGAACTTCTCTCTCTGACATTATAACCAGGAAATGTTAAAACTTTGGTATTTCTATTTTATGCTGAAAGTAATAAAACCAAAAAAACAACTAAGAAATAATTTTATCTGACTTCTGATTCTACAGTAAAGGACGGTGAGTCTCCATCCTGCAGATGAAACAGGTTGGGAGGTTTAGGGAGAGTCAGCAAACTTCCCCTAATGTTTTCACCACACGATGAAAACCGCATGAAGAGGCAACTCAGCTCTCAGCCCTCACTAGGAACCTCAGCATAGGAGAAGTGGAGCTGATTTACTATCTCTTCTTCTTCATAGAGTTTCTGCAGCTTTACAAAAAAAGGTAATTCCACACAAAAGCAGAATCTCAATATTATGCTCTCATGTCCTTAATCACTGCAGCCCAAAGTTACTCAGCAGCAGCTCAAGTTCAGTTTTGTCACTACATTTCCCAGCATGCCTTTGGTTCATTTTCAACAATTTAACAATGAAACACTGAGATCTGGAGAGTTTCTCTCAATATATTCAGTGCAGAACTCAGAAAAGAGATTCAGTTGATAGAAAATCATAAAATAATCATCAGCTTCACATCATTTATTATAAACAGGCTGAATTCACAACATCAAGAATCTCATTTAGATCCTAAATCTTAGAAGCTGAAGTTCTGTCTGCAGCATTTCTATGATGAAAACTGTCCAGATCCTTTCAGAAAGTGAAACATTTATTTTCTTCACATCCAGTTCCTCCAGTTTCAGTCAGAGAGACTGAACTGGAGGAACTGGGAGGATTTATTTAAACTAAATGAACCAACAGAGTTTAAATATCAAAGTGAATCCATCCAGATTCTGGGACAAAGAGACTCTGAGGTCCAGATGTTCTAGAAACTCTCTTCCTCTCTGTACTGACTCTGGTTCTGAATGTGGTTCTGGTGGAGATCAGAGGAGGAATCAGACCAGAACCTGATTCTATCAGACTGTTGGACTGTAGAAAACACAGATCCATCCGTCTGTTTCTGTCTTTCCTTCCTTCAGTCTCTCCTGTCAGGATTTCATACCAGTTTGGTTTCATGTTATTGTTGATCTGCTGCCACTGAAACCAGGATTCAATCTTCACATCACAACTAATCAGAGAAAGTTTTTATTATTTCCTTCAAGAGGTTTGATGAACTCAGTCCAGGTAATATTCACACAGACAAAAACTGGGATCTGCTGGGACTTGTAGCATTTTAATAATCAACAGTTTGGATCAGTTCCTAAGTTTTAGGATTCAAAATGTTTTGCAGGGAGAGAAAGAGAAGAGAAGAGAAGAGAAGAGAAGAGAAGAGAAGAGAAGAGAAGAGAAGAGAAGAGAAGAGAAGAGCAGAGCTCAGGAAAAGATCCTTAATGTTGTGAATTCAGACTGTTAATTATTAATGATGTTAAGTTGATGATTATTCTGCTCTGATTTTCTATGAACTGAATCTATTTAGAGAAACTCTGAAAAGCTCCAGAGTTTCTATCACAACACTGATTTCTTAGATTTTATCTTCCTGCAGCCGATCAATAACTCACACAGGCTCTTATTTACTAATACTAAATAAATCATCTTTAAATTACATTAGTTAAGTTAATAAAACTTCAGCTTCTGCACTTTACAATACTTTATTTATCACAAAAGACAAATCAAGCTCAGCAGCTCACTGAAACACATTCCTGCACACTACAATGGTATAAAACAACAACCAATCACAGAAAAATACATTTGACTCTCACAATGTCTGAACACTTAACAGGTTAATCAGAGCAGGGTGTTCAAATCTCTTCCTCTGTCGTTCACCTTTAAACATCTGTCAGGATTTGAGAGTCAGATGAGAAACAACCAGATTTTTTTTAAATAACATGGCCTGTAAAATACACCTGACTTTATAACAGAGGTTTTATTTTTATCTTTTATTTTTATCATACTCTGACCCGTTTTGATTGGCTTAGAGTTAACCTTCCGAGGTTACCTGAACGCATCATGAGGAAGGAGCGGTAACTTTTTGCACAGCAGCTGTGCAGAAAGTTCTCTGGTACCAGAAGGTCCAAGAGAATCATTCAAACAATGAGCACGGCCGTCAAAAAGGTTTAGAGTTCAAAATTAAAGATGCATAATGGATCAAAACAAGCTAATACATAAATAAAATAGATAGTCAGAAAAAAAAAGTGGAATAATTATCAAGGTCTTGAGTGTTGATTCAAAAATACTTCAGCGTTTGAGCAGATCTACAGCTTTAAAGTCATTTATCACATTAAAAATAATCTGGATTATTAGTAAAACCATACAGTAAACAGACAAGAGCCACAGATAACACATAACATTACAGACTTTAAAATTAATTGCAAATTAAGAAAAGCAGAGTTTCCAATGGGACTGTGTGAATCCTGAATCTCTGAAGTTAAGAAGTGGAAATCCATTACTAGATTGGTTTATATTAATCCATAAGTCCTAAAAGAATCAAGTGTTTGTTTTAGGCGTAACTTGCTGAAGGATTACATCAGCGCTTTAATTTAAACCTCCTGTTATGTTGCGGGTCAAATTGACCTGTTTTAAACTTTATTTTTATTATTTTTTAAATAGTTGGAAGTATCTTTTCTGCATTAAACGTTTTTTATTTGTCTTAATAAGTGCACTACATATAAACTGAGAATGGTTCATTTTACACATTTGCACCAACCGAGGGTATTACATAGAAACTGTTTGGGTCAATTTGACTCTGCAGTCAAGTTGAAGGGTGAAAAGGTAAAACAATTTCCAATTCTATACGTTTCCTTGCAGCTATGAACCATATTTCACCACACACACACAAATACATGCACATTTCTCACTATTCTCTTTACTTCACTAGGAAGCTGTGCAGGTGTTCATACAACTTTTGATGGGAACCTTTTCTGTTCCCAAACTCCACCAACACTGAATGACTCTCAGCAGAAGTGGAGGGAAACACAAATACTCTCTGCATGACTCATTTGTCTTGATTTAAATCAGTGGGTCAAACAACAGTATATGTGTCTCAAGTTCAATTATAAAGATCACCCATTGAAAAAGAATTCAAAATTTCACTTAAAATTTTTCAAAATATCAATTTCTATGATAATTATTGTTTTTGGTGTGTAGGTTTAAATTGTCATTAATGATCCTTTACTTCTCACACTATAGCATAATTAAACACTCCACGCGTCAAACTGACCCAGGAACATTACTGCTCTACCTCAAAATGAAATTAACAGGAGGGTTAAGCCACATTTTACAGAAACTGGATAAGAAATCTCCAATGGGGGCTACAACCATTTCTTGTGATAGATTCCTGCTCATCCTGCATTGGAGCAGCTGGTTTTGTGGACATGACCTAATGTGTAGTAATGATCTGCATGTGCATGTCGCTAGCTGTAGCAGCCAGTGGCCAATGTCCACTAATATTGATGGTCACTCTACTCCCCAAATGTCCCAACCAGACCCAAAAAAGTCCCACTGAAAATCAACAAGAGCAGAGATTCAGATCCAAGGGTCTAGATGCTGGAAGTTGGTATGGATGAGGAGGATCGGGGAGCTGATGCACTCAGTTACTGGAAAAACTTTTTGTGCCAAGAATAAGACCAAAGCTTACATGTGAATGTCAGACAGTCTTATTAGGACTTGTCCTGCTGAGGCTTGTCAGATTAATTGTACCTTAAATACTTGTAATTTCACTTGGTGATGAAATTAACAAAGGAACTTTTCAGTCGTTCTAATTTTGTCATGAGTTGTAGGTAGTGAGGTAAACGCAGTTGACCCAGGTAGAGGTGAGCGAATGATGATGTTTAATGAAAAATCACACAATGTACAGTCCAGGCAGCAGTAGCAAAGATTCTCATTTTGGTAGCAACTGGATTAAGACATGAGACACAACAAACGACAGCCGAGACAAGGTGGGATTAAATACACAAGGAGGATAATCAGGGGACATGAGGGACAGCTGGGAACAATCAAGGGGTAGACAGGACAAAACTGAACACAGAAACCTAAATAAACACAGAAAAAAACAAATCCTCACAAATTTATGGAATAAGTCTGTATATTGGATCAATGCTTGCCTACAGTTGAAAACAGTTTCACAATTCAGAAATACGTTTTGTGAAGAATTATCACATATTTGCCAAAGCTGTTAAAAAATATAATCAACATGAGATTCTGTAACAATCAAAATGTTATTAATTTCAAAAACAGGATAAATACCTTCAGTGTGAACCAAATGAATCCTTGTCAGTGTTAACTTTGAACTTGTGATTCTGACTCCACAGCTGACCCTGAGTTGGCATAAATTTGTGTCCTGCTGATGAGAGATATATCAATATTCAATTATATTCTTCAATTCATATCAGTTACACCAGCATCACTGACATTAGTTCAGGTTATGCAGGGGCAGCTGCAGAAACACAGGAGAGAAATATATTAAATGAAATAAGGCCTGTATCATTTAGCATCTTTAATATTTGCTATGTTAAAGACACGACTATGCGTAACTCAGCAGAGCACAAATTTATGCTGCCAATTGAGGGTCAGCTGTGGACTCTGGATGAAATAATTGAAAAATATAAAGTTTGCCAAGACTGAAAATAACTTTTCAGTCCTTTTCAACAAAGGACTGAAAAGTTCCTGTGTTAGTAATTCCTTCACCAAGTGATCAATTAGATTAATTAGATCTAATTAATTAGTTTTAACATATTTATATTTTTGCTATAAAGATACTATTAATCTGACCATCTTCATCAGGACATCATTTATTGAATAAGCCTGCTTAAATTCTGGCCTCATTCTTGGCACAGAGAAAGAAAAGGCCTTCCAGTAACTGTGGGTGCATCGGCGCACCACCAACTTTAAACACAAAGTTACAATCATGCTTTGTGACTCATTAGTTTTCTATTTGCAGTCAGTCATGCTTTACAAAATTGCAAGGTGTGTCAGGAAAACAGTTTTGTGATGTAAATGTCCAAATGGAGTAGTTGTGAAAAATAAAACAGTTTTTACTGCTGTCTCTGTTAATTTGAAGCCTTCTTTGAAATGTCTAATAACAGCTTTGATAAAAGATGAGTTGTTCTTATAATCTGTTGTTGAAAGGAGCTTGTTTGACTTATATAAATATTTTTTATTAGACAAAATTTGATCAAAGTCTCATCATCACATTTTATTAAATAAGTCGAAACTGAGAGACCAGGTAGGGACTGGTACCAAAACAAATCAGAACAGAGTAAACAGAAATGTTTCAAAAACATTACATTATTGGTTACAGTACTTTGTAAATGATATTTAATCCATTTTATTAGCACTATAATTATTGTTATATGGAAGCCATACAAGAAAAAAAATATCTCCATTAAAATCTGAAAAAATATATATCAATTCAGATTTCATAAAAATTTATTTGTCTCATTAGTTTAACTTTGTGAAATTATTCAGCTCAGATTTAATCTTCTAGTCACAAACTGGAAGTTCTTGGTTTATTTCTCTACATGTTTCAACTGATCAGATATTTGTTGATTGTCCAGATAATCACACAAATGCAGCTTTCATGAAGACAGGAATGTTTTTTTCAGTGGCAAAAGGTCAGGGATAAAAGATGACCTTGATCCGATACACAGTGAAACTGTGTGGACAGACTGTCTCTGTTAAATCCTTTAGTTCTCCACCAGAGGGCGCTGTGAGGTTAAAACTTTAGGTTCTGGATTAAAATAAATAATATGTGAAATAATGAGATGTGGGCTGCACAGTGGCGCAGTTGAGAAACTTGTATTACTACATTGCAATACAAGTTTCTCACTTATATTTTTGATATACATAAAACCAACCTTGTAAACATTTTGTAAATATTAAAGGACCTTGAAATGCATGGTTTTTAACCAGGGGCTACACATATTTAAAAATCATGAATGTAAACATAAATAATTTATTTAAAAAAATAATCTTTGGTCTCACTAACAATCAGCTGATCCAGCATTTAGACACAATAACTGATCAATGGGTCTGTCTGACTCCAGAAACATTTTAGAAATTATTAAAATCATCATTATTACAGTACATTTTACAGAATGAAACAATCATGACCTTTTTGTTGTGCAAAATGACTGTCAACCAAACTCAAGTGAACAAACCCTTTATCTGTATTATGTGTTTCAACTACATTTATCAAATGATGAGTTTTCTTCTTCGGTCTATTGTTCCTAAACCAAATAATGAATATTATAATTAGAACCATCAGAAATGCTATCAGTCCCAGAGGGATGAAGATGATGATCCATCTTCCTCTCTCTGGTTCTGGAGTCAAAGTTGGTCTCTGAGTTTGGATCTGATCAGCAGCTGCTGGACAGAAATCAGAAATATTTATTAATATTTTGTGAAAACTGAGATCCAGGAGGATTCATGATGAAGATGAAGATGCTGGTTCATTAAACAGATTAAGATTTTAATCTAAGGAAAATGATTTATATTATTTCTTCTCACCAGTAACGTTGAGTCGACATTCTACAGTGTTGAATCCATCTTCAGTTTTCACGTCACACAGATACAGACCAGAGTCTTCAGTCCTCAGTCTGGACACATGGAGTCTGATTCGTCCTTCTCTGAGGACGTCTTTGTCACTCTGGACTCGTCCTGAAAACTGATCATCCTGAGAATCTGGAATCTCAACACCATCATGGATGTGATAGAGAACTAAAACTCCATGATCCGTGTTCGCTTCACAGTAGATGAACAGATTCTTCCAGGATCCCTGAGTCCTGGTGGTGAAGGTCCACTCCAGAGTGATGCTGTGGTTCTCCTCTGCCTCATAGCTGCTCTGGGTCACATTCACTACAAATGTTGCTGCTGAGGAGACAGAGAGGGAAAGAGAGGAGCAGACACACTGAGAACTGGAACATGGGAGTCTTTCAGCTCCATCTAGAGAGCTTTCTGTCACAAAGACAAGATGGAGACTGACCACAGAGACATGAGCTGAGGATGAGGAGCAGCAGGGAGATCATCTTCATCCTGAGAGAGGAAGAGGAGGAGGAGAGGCAGCAGAATGTCAGGAACAACATCACCCATTACAAGGAACATCTGCTGCTACTGCTTTAATATATTGATTTAATTATTCAGCGACATTTACAGACAATAAAGTGAAGGACAGTTTTCTAGTGGTTTTCTGAACATTTTCTCATCTTTAGTCTTTGATCTCATCTGGCTTGAAAAAAAATCAAGATGAATAAACATCAGTGAAGTGATGAAGAACATCAGGAAAGATGTTTGATCAGCTGGTTCATAAACTTTCTGTCGTATTTCATCAGCATGGTGGAAAGGTTGAGTTTAATACAAAACAGAGAAAAGATTCATTTTTTTAAACGGATCATTACTGCCACCTCGTGGTGTTAAAGAAACACAGCAGCAGTAAAACTACAGGGTCTCATTGGGCACAAGAAATGTGAGGCGTCATATTTTATGCAAAAGTCGGCATGTATAAAAATTAACTTAAATTTGGGTACATGTACGCACACTTTTTCCCTGGCGTGAAAATGCGCTGCAGCCACGCAAACTTTTCTGTGAACAATATCAAACTACAAAGCGTCAAAACTCATCTAAATATACTGAAGTCTGACGACTTTCGGTTATTTAGACCAGGAAGCATCAAACCCGATGTGTTTTTATGATTTTAATATTTTATTGTTTAAAAGTAAACGATGAAACTGAACCGCATTGACATGCGCAGTGGTTTCCTCTA